TATCCACTATATTCATCTTACATACCTTTGATTTTAGAAATTATTATACTTAACTAAAATTTAACTTTTCATTTTTTTGATTGATTTGTTCAAAAAGATTAATATATCTTTTGAGTCAAATAATTGTTACTCTCAGCATCGTTCTATAAGACTTACACTTTAACTTTGATAGGTATCGCCTTATCATATAATACTCGTGTAGCACTCTTTATTTTAGCCATAATAATATTTTAATTACGAATCTATCTTAGACTATATTGGCCACCTCATTGAGTTCTCTGAGGTTGCTAACTCTTAGCCTGTCTCTCTCCTAAATCTTTGGTGTAATTAGACTCACATTACAGTTTGACACTTGTCATTTTGAAATGTTGCTCGGAGTCCAGTATTTCTATGAAATGACTACTTATAATCTTATGCTAAAACTTAGATTAAATTAAAATATTTAATTTAACTTAACGTTTTAGCTGCTTCAAAAAATAAACAAGTACATTCTTACCAATAGTTACATTAACCATACCAAAATAATTCTTGTAAATTTTTCATCAAATTCAGTAATATGTTATTCTATTTGTTATTTGAAATCATTAAAAAAAAAGAAAAAAAGTAATCACACAATTGCTTTAATTTTATTGTGTAACTGACAACAATTTCTACTTTAGAAGATTTTATTTTAATTGATGCACCTCTTATATTCTTTTTTGTTTTGTTTGCTTTTACGAATTTAGTATTTGTAGTTTACTAATTCGATTAAAAGGTGCTCAATTTCATTTTAAAGTCATTTTGGATTTTAAATTGCTTTTCAACAAAAAGGTTTCAAAATTTTAAAAGTCGAGATAAATTTAACGCTACACCATTCTAGTAACATTCTTTTAAGCAAATTTCGATCAAACCTGCATAAAAAACTTAATCTTTTTGTGTGCATGACCATAATAAATACCTCTAAAGGCCAGCTTTGTAAACAAAATTTGGAAATTGACCTCTTTTTATCTTTTTTCCGGTCGTAACAATTTTTTTTTTTTTAAAATGATAAAACTTGAACACTAAACAACACCATAATTATATGCATTATATAACATTAATAAGGAATAAAAGATTTGGACTACAAGCATAAATATAATATTTTTCTCGGAGCAATTGTTTTATGTCTCCTACCAAATTCTTTAAATTTTATTACTCTTAATAAAATGGAAAGATTTGTATTATGAAAAAATGATGTTGAGTCGTTTACTCCCATCATTAATTTATTTTATTATTTTTGTTAACAAAATTTTACTTGAAAAAAAAACTACTTATATGAAGTTGGATAATTTTAATGGCGTAAGGTTTTATGGGAAACCATATAAACATATTAAGAGTATCTTTAATTAGTGTTACTCCAACTGTCACGCCCCAAACTAGGGGAGGCACGACTGACACTCGATACTGTATTCGATCGAGTTATCCACTAAATATACTAGCTAAATAAACTGGGGGCCCAACAGATCGGGCAGCACAACATCTGAAATACTAAGCCTGGACCATTAAGGTCATGACCTGAATAACAATAAGCCATATAAACAAAAGTAGACGAGCCAAAATAATAAAGTACTAGCTGGCCGACGAGGTCGCGATTGGAGACATACATGCCTACACACATATATATACATGCCAAGCCTATGGGCTGGAGACTGAAAGCTACAAAAAGAAACCCAGAATACTGTGTCTACAATAGCCTCTAAGAGTGTCATAAGCACTGTCGGAACAAGGCCCCGACTATACCCAAACTGTACACAAAAGTAACTATCCTATGAGAGCTCCA